AGTTGGGGCACGGCCATCCCACCGGCACCCCACGGGCCCCAGGCCTCCAGACGGGACCCGGCTGGCATGGGGCTACCTTGGGGGGGAACGGGCCACCCGGGCAGAGCCCCCGCTCAGTGCCCGTGGGGATTTCAGCAGCCGCTCCCGGCCACGTTTGGGGGAGGTACCCACACCCCACTGCCTTTGCACCACGGGACCCGGCTTCAGTCCCCGGGGGAAAGCGGCTCCTTTTCCCCACAGCCAACGATTTACGACACCACACCAGGACAGGGATTTCACTCTGCGATTTTCCCACATCCTCCGAGTTGCTGCAGCATAGGACTCATTTTCACACCCTTGGTCTCCCCGTGCTGCCGGGACGGGGCACAGACTGCATTTCCCCAAGGGCAGTGGGGATTCACTATTCCCCTGGTGACCGTCTGTCACCGCCAGTGCCTCGCGGAGGTGCCCGGAGGGCTACAGACACCGGTCTCAGGTCACGAAGGAAGCAGAGCGGGGCACAGAGCAAGGTTTTTGGGCTGGGTTTGGTGGAGGATCTTCCAGGCTGGCATGGAGCGGTGGGGAGAAGGAGCACGGGGTGGTGGGAGGGACCACGGGCTCTGTGCCCCAGAGAAAGGGCCCATTGAAGCAGGGACGGGCCTTTGCGGATCCCAGCACGGCTGGGGGTCGATGGCCCGCACAGCGGCTGGCATTGTGCCACCAGCACCAAGCAAACGGAGCCGGGGGGGGGGGTCCAGTTTGCCCATCTTGGTGGTCTGCTCTCCCCTTGCTGCCCCGCAGGTTACTGTGTTTGGTCGCACACCTTCGCTGCAGGTGGTGCTGTAAAACCCACCCCACCAGCATCCGTGGCTTCCAGCAAGTTGGTTTTGAGGTTAGAGGCTTGTTAGCCAGCTCAGCTGGTCTCCAGTCTGGATCAAACCAGGGCAACACAGCCCGGCGTGCCTGCAGATGCACCATTTCACCCCCGTGCCCAGCACTGATATCTCTGAAGGTCCCGTCGCATTCAGCAGGGACTCAGGCAGCAGCAGTAGCTCTCCTCTCTCCTGGGTCTGAAGAAAAACCCTCTTTCAGCAGCAGACAAGGTGAGGGAAAGCAAAGAGACTCTGTCCTGGCACAAAGCCTGGGCTGCTCCTGTCACTGGCATTACTGTGCCCAACACCCGCCTCTAAATCCCTTCTGGGCAGCTCTTTTTGGGACACAAGGAGCAAGAACAGCTCATCTGGGTCATCCCAGACCTGTGTGCCTCCTCGGGGGGATAATAAATAGTGGACAGAAGATAACCTCTTCCACCTGGAGTTTGAGAGCACAAGAACAAGTTGTTTAAGTGATGCTTGTTTGTACCAACGCCCGCTGCTGCTGCTCCCGAACGTAACCTCCCGTCTCTGCCCTCACCTGCATGATTCAGCTGTTGGGGGGGATTTGCCCGGGGTACCCAGCTAGGAGGAGAGCAGTGGACCAAGCCAAGGTGGGTTGAAGGACTGAAGGGCAGAGCCGAGAATGGAACAGGGAGGAGAAATGAGCCCGGCCGCTGCGTTAACTCGAGGGACTGAACAAGTGGAGGAGCCCCTGTAGGGCTGCCCAAGCCAGGGGCATAGCGCGTCTCCCTTCCCGTCCTCCCCAGGGCACACGGCCCCTGCTCCCACTGGGGTTTCTCTGCACGGCAGCGGGACAGGCTGGGGTTGCTGCCGGTGCCCTGACCCTGTCTGAGCCAGGACTTTGCATTCCCAACTTTCTCCTCCGATGGGCAGTTTCCAGGCTTCAATTTGGCGAGACTTGGGGCTATTCTAGGCAACTTTATAAACATTGTAGGAGGTGACCTTTTTTTTGCTCTTTTCCCTTTTTTAGCTTGAATACATGTGTTTTTAAGCAAAAAATACCTGCCCAGGCAGCCTCCTTAGCTATGCCGGGGGGCAAACCGAAGTGGTGCCGTGCTTGTGCCATGCCTTGGAGAAAAGCCAGAAGAGCCAGGGGCAGGATCAAAATTGCTGGGAGATGAAAGCAAAGTGGGAAGCATCGGTGGCGCGTTTCCCAAGGCCAGCCTCTGGAGGAAGTCAGGAGCGGAAATAGTTGATAGAGTAAATACAGAGGGAGCTCAGGGTGTTTTGTTTTGGCTTGGTTTGGTTTTTTTCCCAGGTTGCAGACAAAGAGCAGTGGGGAGAGCAGATAGGTGCCCCTGTGCCTTATCTCTTTGTTGTTCCTTTGCTGGCTCACGGTGCTGCTCTTAATCTGATTAAGCAAAGCATCTCTGAGGGAGTTACTCTGGGGGCAGCAAGCTCAGCTGCAGGTCCCCACCAGCTCCCTTCTTCCAGGAGCCAGGCAGGGATGCAGGGGGGCAGAGGCAGGGGCTGGATGGACAGAGAGATCTTGGGCAGGGAGGGAACTTGCAAGTAGGTGCTTTGCTGCCGTTCCTTGTCCAGAGCTCGTTTGTTGCCTGTTGAGTCACCGGAGGAAAATGTGACTTCATGCAGTCGCACCTCCAGCTGGCTTCCCCCACCAGCCCGCAGGCGTCTTTCCTTTCTTGGATCCCACCCGGTAGGTGTTCAGGGCAGCCAGAGGAGGGGGATGAAAGCCCCAAGTCTTTGTGAAAGACCCTCCCTTTCCTAAAACCGAGCAGAAAACCCCAACTTCACTCTCCCAGGCAGGCAGTCCTGCGAAATGCCCTGCAGAAGAGCAATAAGAGCATCCCTTCCCTCCTTCCTCTCACCATGGGACCTTGCCATCATTGCCCTGGGGCCACGCTGCTCTTCTCACCCCACCTATGCCACCAGTGGGAGCATCCACTCGATGAGCTGGCTTGCTGCAGCAGACTTGAACAATTTGGCATCTCTGTTACTGTCCGAGTCCTTCCTTCGTGCTGTGGCAGGGTTAAATTAACTTGCTACTAGTGGCAGATATCCACCCGAGCAGCTTCGCATGGGAACAAAACCCCCGCCACCACCCACAAGAAAAAGCCCCTTTGTTGGCTTGGACTCAGCCGGGAAATCCGCAAAGCCTTTTATCATCTCGACAGTGGGAATTGTAGCCGTCCCTGCTGAAATGAAAAGCATTTCCAGCCTGAGGGATAGGAAAAGGCAGGGAGCAGCGCCAGGGGAGTTCCCCCAAGCCTCGTGGGCCGCCTTCCGGGGCGTCTCAGTTTAGTGCTCGTGGAAATTATTCCGCCTTGCTTCGAGATGTGCAGAGTAAGAGGAGAGCATCGGACGGCCGCTGCCTGCAGTTGCCAGAGGTGATACCCGTCCGTCTGTCCATCCGTCTGCTCGCACCGGCAGGACTGGCAGTTGGCGGTGCCCCCCAGGGCAGTAGCAGCACCCCGGCAGCTCTGCTCGCACCCCCGGCCCGGCGGAGCCCCGGCGGGCGGCCGGACGGGAGCTCACGGGGCGCACAGAGCCCCTCTGTTCCCGCTCACAAAGGGACGCTTGTGGCTCGCTCACAACCCCAGCCAGCCTCACCGGGTCACCCCGTGTGTCCCCCAGCCCCACGGCTCAGCCCTGCAAGGGCCCCCGCGCCTCTCACCGCTGCCCTGCGGGTCCCGCTCAGACGTTTGCAGCCGGCTGTTTATTTAATGAATTATGTCTGCCCCGGGCCTGTGAATCAGGGCTTTTGCCAGCGCTGCTGGAAACGGCTCTCTGTGTCATCCCGGTGAATAATTCCGGGTCTGTGGCTCATATGTCGTCGGTCGGCTGGGGGCATTTAGAGGGGTGAAAACCTGGGCTAGCTTTGCCCAAGAATTTTGTCTGAGCAGGCGATAGGTGCCACCCCCCCACTGTGTGTGTGCTCCAGGCAGCGAGGGGACAGTCCCCTGCGCCAGGGAGGAGAGGGCAGGGATGCAGACTGCCGCCGCCACTCCCTGGGATGCCACAAACCCAAAAGTCCTTTGCAGCAGCGAAGCTGGCGGCTCTGCTGGGCGCTGAGAGATGCAGCCGCACACCGAGGGCTTTGTATATTTTATTTTTTCTCTCAGTTGCTCAAATACTCCGACAAGTCCTGTCGTCACAGGGGCACTGAGTGGGACCGAGGAGGGGGGGACACGGGGGGCAGCGTGGCAAAAGGCACCTGCCCCAGCTGCTGGCCTGTCCCCAAGGAGCAGTGTGCTGACAAACTAAACTAACAGGGCTGTTAAAAACACACATGTACGTGTGCGGGGGGATGTTGGTGCTGCTCACTGCAGGGGGAAGGGGGGAACTGAGGGGCTGCCACAAGAGGCCTCGGGAGCCGCCGGGGCTCTTTGAGGTCCCTGTGTCCCAGCGGAGTGCCGGTTTCCTGGGGGTGTGGGTGTCTCTTTTTAGCAGTTTCTGCTGAGAAGGGGGTGGCTCAAAGCCAAGCCCTGGGAGCTGAGTGCTTTGCTCAAGCTGGGAAACTCCTGGTGCTCCCACAAAGAGGGCTGGGGACCAGGGGGCTGGGATGCTGCCCTGGCTGTGGGGTGCATCCCCCTCCTCCTGCCTCAGCTCCCTACTTCCCAGTGGGAGGAGCATACAGCGAACAACACCAAAAAATGCACATTTTGGCTGCAGACAGCATAGAGGAGGTTTGGGCGTGATGCAATGCCTGGCAGGGCTTCCCCGCTCCACACCCTGCCGAAGGCTGCGGGTACCGCGGCTCAGCCGGGGCATCTCCCCTCCAGAAAACCCTGGGGCCCCCCCCAAAGGACGAGGCTCTGCTGGGCTCCCCCTCCTCCTTCACCCCTGAAAGCAGGGGCAGGACAGGTTGCCAGGATCATGCTGTCGGGAGCCAAACCAAAGCTAAATAGACTTCCCCTGAGTCACTGGAAGTCTGGCCAAGAAAGCGGGATGAGCAAACAGCATCACCCACGCGGCCAGGCAGCCGCCGGGCGTGCGGACCAGCCGCCAGGTAGCGGGCGCTGGCAAACCCTGCATGTGTCAGCGTGCACGTGACACATGCTGGGCACCTGCCCCGGGGGCCCAAACAGCAGCTTTGGCCCCCAAAATCTCCACTATATCCCAATCGGGATGTGGGTTTGGTTCAACTCCGAACGGCTCCTGCCATCACCCCGATTTCGTTGGCGCTGGGAGGAGGATGAGGGCTGTGGGGGAGGTCTGTTCTGCTGGGCGGGTGGATGCTGAGTCTCCCAGTGGGTTTTACATCCCCCACTGAGGAGCTGCACCATCACTTGGGGTGTTTTCTTTTTGGAAAAAGCCCCCAGGAGCATTTTACACCCCGAGTGGGACGGGTGGCAGCAGCAGCTGTCCTTCCTGGAAACTCTCTGGGTTTCATTTTCGTGGCTGAGCAGCTGCCACTGCTGTGCCACGGGAAGGCGGAAGCTGCACGGCCCCACGCCGGGGCCCTACGGGGGAGCCTGCAACCCTTCCCAGAGTAGCTCTTTCCAGAGGCTGGGAGCCACGATGCCCCATGGATTGGGGTGAGGAGCTGCTCTCATATCCGTGGGGGGCCTCCCTTGCCAGCAGCAGGGTTTTGGCTGGCGGGGAGCAGGCAGCTGGCGGAGCGATGGGGATTGGGTTTCAGGGCTGGCAGGGGCAGCCGGAGGAGGCACAGCAAGGGGTCCTGTTGGGCAGATATATTTTGGGAAGGAGGGGGAGCAGCCGATGGGGGCTTTGGGCAGCTGCTCCTCGCCGGTGGGATGGGAAGTGTAGGGAGGAGCTTGCCTCTTTTTACTGCTCTTGTCGAGACCTTGTTGGTTGTCCCTTATGGGAAGGGTCAGCCTCTAACCCCTGCCCGCTCCCCGCTGCCTGCAGAGAGCCACTGCCACGCTGACCCCCCTTCTCCCCGCAGGCAGGGCTGGCCCAGGCAGGGCCGGTGGGGCAGAGGATGCCGGGGGGCAGCTAGCGCAGGACACATCCCCAGCAGGTGGGAAGGACGTGTGTGTCCCCGCCATGGAGATCCGACGTGCTTTGCCCCAGGATTTCCGGGAGCTGCTGCACTGCCTGAAGATGAGGAGCAAGTATGCCGTCCTGCTGGTCTTTGTCGTCGGCCTCGTCATCATCGAGAAGGAGAACAACTTCATCTCCAGGTAGGGAGCGGGTACCTAAGCCACCCCGCGCTTTTCACCCTTCCTCTTCCCCACATCCCGAGCTCTGTGCAGCGGGAGCCCCCCGAACCCCCCCACCGGGATGCAGGGGTGGTCCCGCTCTCCTCCAGGCTGGGCTGGGTCTCCCTGCAGGGTGTCGGACAAGCTGAAGCAGTCCCCACAGGCGCTGGCAGAGGCCAACGGCACGGAGGCCAGCCCAGCGCCAGCTGAGAACGGCTCGCTGGCCTCACTGCGAGAGCTGGATGCTGCCTTCTCCCAGCTGAGGTCCCACCTGCGCAACATCACCCTGCAGCTGGAGGGTGATGGGGACCCTGGGCCGCGGCGGCACGTCCTGCTGATGGCCACCACCCGCACTGGCTCCTCCTTCGTGGGGGAGTTCTTCAACCAGCAAGGCAGCATCTTCTACCTCTTTGAGCCCCTTTGGCACATCGAGAGGACGGTGACCTTTGAGCCGGGGGGAGCCAATGCGGTGGGCTCAGCCTTGGTCTACCGGGATGTCCTCAAGCAGCTCCTCCTCTGCGACCTCTACATCTTGGAGAGCTTTATCTTGCCAGCGCCCGAGGGCCACCTGACGCCCTTCATGTTTCGGCGGGGCTCAAGCCGCTCGCTCTGTGAAGAGCCCGTCTGCACGCCCAATGCCAAGAAGGTCTTTGAGAAGTACCACTGCAAGAACCGCCGCTGCGGCCCCCTCAACATCACCCTGGCCGCCGAGGCGTGCCGGCGCAAGCAGCACGTGGCCCTGAAGACGGTGCGCATCCGGCAGCTGGAGTTCCTGCAGCCACTGGTGGAGGACCCTCGGCTGGATGTGCGCATCATCCAGCTCGTGCGGGACCCCCGGGCCGTCCTGGCCTCCCGCATGGTGGCCTTCTCTGGCAAGTACGAGACCTGGAAGAAATGGGCATCCGAAGGGGAGGCTCCCCTCCATGAGGAGGAGGTGCAGCGGCTGCGGGGTAACTGCGAGAGCATCCGTCTGTCGGCTGAGCTGGGGCTGCGGCGGCCGGGCTGGCTGCGGGGTCGTTACATGCTGGTACGCTACGAGGACGTGGCGCGGGCACCCTTGCAGAAGGCGGAGGAGATGTACCGCTTCGCCGGGCTCCCCCTCACCCGCCAAGTGGAGGAGTGGATCAGCAAAAACACGCAGGCACCCCGTGATGGCAGCGGCGTCTACTCCACCCGCAAAAACTCTTCTGAGCAGTTCGAGAAGTGGCGGTTCAGCATCCCCTTCAAGCTGGCGCAGGTGGTGCAGGATGCCTGCGCCCCCGCCATGCGCCTCTTTGGCTACAAGCTGGCCAGCAGCCCCGCCGCGCTGGCTAACCGCTCCTTCAGCCTGCTGGAGGAGGCACAGCCCTCCTGGGTCACGTAACAGTGTGGGGGGATGGTGGCAGGGGGGAACGAGGGGCTGCGGCCGTGCTCCCGGCCCGGGGAAGAGCCAGGGGGTCTCTGCTCCTGGAGATGCTCTTCATTGCTGCCAGGTGGAAATCGGCAGCCCCGGGAGCCAGAGCATCCTGGCAGAGCTGACCCCGGGGTCCTACAGAGCCTGAATTACACAGTTTCTCTGGCAACGGGGAAATAACAAAGGCGGGAGGCACTGGGAAAAAGCTGGGGGTTCGGCCCCAGGGCCACCTCCCCGGCTTGGGGGCTGCACCAGGGAAGAGGAGGGTGAGGGCGAGAAAGAGGGTGACAGGACCAAGCACCTCCTCATTGCCACCTGGCCCAGCTAGGACAAGGCAAGGGTGAGACCCTGGGGGTGCCAGCAAGGACCCAAGCCCCAGAGGCCTTACTGGTTTAGTGCCTTCATACACCAGCACGGACTGGGAACTGCCCCAGAGCCATGCCGGGGCAGGAGTTTCCCACAGAGCCCCAGCCGGCACTTGGGCTGCAATGAAATGAGCTGACTTTGTGGTTTGGTGCTCTTCAAAGTTGGTTTGGGGAGGGGGAGTTGTTGGGGTTTTTTTCTCCTTTTGTTCCTGTGTATTTGTGTACCAGGTTCGCCAGGTGAATTTATTTATTTATTATATGAAAAAGAGGGGGAGGCGGGTCAAGGAGCTAAGCCCAAAAATCAGAGCAGCACAACATACCGCAAAGAAACGGAGAGACACCCAGAACGAAGTGGCGGAGGTCAGATTTTGGCCAGAGACCACCACGTGCCCTGCTGTATGATCCTGGGAGAGCCCCCAGGGACCGACGGGCTACAACCCCCAGACGCCCAGTGGGGCACGGCCAGTGCCGGGGCTGCACCCACCCCACCGGGAGCGACTGGGCACCTCGGCGCCTGCCAGAAGATGGTTGGACTTATTTAATTAAAAACAAAAATACGACAGCACAGAGTCCAAAGCATCTCCTGTCTCCTTGGTATTCATGTCCTGTCTCCTTGGTATTCCGGGGCTCCCCCCAGAGCCCCAGATACTTGCCGGCAGCATCGGTGGGTGACCAATACCTGGTGGAGGCACGGGGAGTTTCAGGGTGTTTGCCACATGCAGACATTTCACCCGGCAACAGCCTGGCACTGAGCTGCCCCCTCCAATTCACGTATAATGAATTAAAATGCCTATTTTTAGCTCGCTTTGCAGCACATCCTTTTACTCCCCGTGTACGCTGGGTTACGGCAGCCACCCGAGGGAGAAGCCAGGCATTTTGATGAAGGGTAGCAGTTGTCTCTGCTGGAGACATGCTGGGGGAGCCCTGAGAGGTTCCCGCTGCCCCCCAGGAGCATCCAGCAGCCCCACGTCACCTCTCCCCAGCCAGAGCTGTTGGCCAAAAGCAAAAATAAATAAGTAAAATCATGCAGCAGCGGCGGCTGGCCACAGCTGGGCTGCCTTTCTGCCGGCGGAGGGCGGCCGGGAGG